TAGTTTTACAAGAAGACACAATGATTGGATTCTGATATAAAAATATAAAGAAATGTAGTTTTTTTAATTGTTTTGTCAGACATTGTTAAATAGGGGAACAATATAACGGAGGATGTGACCTTAAAGGGTTAAAATTACATTTTTCATTTCACCTGGACTTTAAACAAGTCTTAATTTTCCTCTCTACAGGTTCAAACCCCTCCGTCACAGGTTAGCGTGCTGCACGGTCAACTGGCTACTGATGCTGTTTTACTGCCTTGTACCTGCCTTCACGCTGTCAACCATTCACTTAGTATACCTGCTGGTATCTCTGTCCTCCTTCTTCCTCGTGCTCATGTTATACTGCGGTGTCCACATTCTGTGCGTGCTGAAGCAGCCGGGGCCTGGCGATGGGGGTCTGGGCCACAAGAGCTGGAATAGCATGAAGAGAAAGGCCTTCAAGGTCATCCTGATCACCCTAGTGTTCACCAACATCACCCACTTCATCATAGTCTTCATCCTGGGCCCAACGTTGTTGTTTGCATCGCAGGAGATCGTCATGCTGATCACATTACTCAGCTGGTCCATCAACATTGTCATTGGATTCATCACCCCTCTGCTGTACCTCCACAGAGCCGGGAAACTGCCCTGCATCAAGTTCTGAGTTTGGTTTCATGGCTTTTTAGAAATGTTTCCCATCAAAGATCTGGTCTGTAATCTTCTGCATACTGTCCATATCTTTGACAAATACAAACATATCACCACCTTGGAGAGTACTGACAGTCGGAAGTCTGGATTCTGGGTTTCCCGCTCACCATTATCTTTCTTCATAACTGGTGATGGAAAATGGAGCCTGGGTGGAGAAAACCACCATATATACCTCCCTTTGACCCTACAATAATGAGCTGTAATGTTGTTGTAATAGCAATAACTCTTTTTACCAAAAAAACACCACAAGAGAGCAAAACATTTTGTCAAATACTTTACATATAAATCGTATAAAAATATGTTAAAGGAAAGTATGCTACTGTGTGACAAGTAATACTTTGTAATGTTGCTTCAGAAACTCACTTTTTGTCACTTGTTATAGGATATGATAGATGAATGTGTTTGAACAGGAAGTCATGACTCCTCCGGTGTGACACATCGCTCCTTTACTCTTCAAAGTTAAAGGAAATCAATATTTCTCCAACTAAAACACACTCATTTGTGGAACATGATGAAGAGCATTATTCATGTCATGAGCTGAAATCATGAAAAACCAAATCACCTGGGACCAACAACGTTCAGGCTGCAGCTTTATGTAACACATCTAAAAACCCTATTAAGTGCTCATATGAGGAAAAAGCTGCTCCGACACTTCACAGGAAAGAAAACGCTGCCATATTCAGAAGCCGCTTTGATTGTGGAGGTCAAACAGAGAGCGGCAGGTTCAGGCAACCTAAGATCTTCACACTCACTCCATCCTCCTCTCCTTGATGTTGCAGTAATATGATGTAACAGTGGGCCTGGATGGCTCCCGTGGGGGCTGGTTAGTCGACTTAATGGACTGCCACAGCTAGCTTCAAAGACTTGGGGAGTAAAAAAAGTAAAGAGCGATGGTAGGGGGTGGGGTGGGGGGGGGCGTAAAAAAAGAAGCTGGAAGAGCGGAGAGAAAGACAAGGGTGAAGAAGTCATCGTCTGAGTCGGCCTCGTGGTGGAGGAGCGGATGGAGGGATGATAGTGCTGCAGTGATGATTGATTTTACAGCCCTGATCATTGTTGATGACGTTACACATTTCCTTGTTACTGTTTTTTAAATGCACGATCAGTATACATTGGATTGTATGTCCCCCAGGCTGGGGGAGGTGGGGGAGGTGGGCCACCCTCCTTTGATTAGAGGAAGTTAACTCTGCTTTTAAAGAAATTTCCCACACTGTCCACTCTGGGTCAGCACTGGACTTGGAGAGGGCGAGTTGAGACATTTTCAACCCACATGATGCAGATGTGTATAACTTTGGTAATGATGTGAATATTAACAGCAGCTATGATGTGTTTGATCATGGTAAAGTGTGGACAATCTCTTTTTTTACAGCCTTACAGAACTTTTCCTGTTTCCTCTTTACAGGTTTATTTTTAATCCACAAACAACTGGAAAATAAAATATGAAGTTCAACAACGTGTTTGACCTTTGTGTGTGTGTATGTGTGTGTGTGTGTGTGTGTGAGAACATATGGATGTAATGATACCCTGCATAACAAGCAGATAGGATTACACACACACACATGCATGCAATCATACTGTTACACTTGTATGCACGCATGCACAAATACAGGCACATGTCACACACACACACACACACACACTGTATATCAGGACGTTAAAGGGAGGAGTTGTGTGTCCTGTGTAAACCTTGTATCTTCGATCTGTTTGAATTCAGTCGATGATGATGTTTTCTCTCCATTTGTCTTCTTGTTAAAACTCTGAATTTGTATTTGTTGTATATTTCTGTTGTACAGCAGAAGGGTGGCGGTACGCGGCCTTGTTTCATGCCGCTGTGTGTTGATTTTG